ATGCTGGGATACGATCTACAGAGTGGGTATGTTGTCACGTTTTCATTGCAGCATTGTTGCGATTTATCCCAAAAATTGAATTGCGATTCTCATGTATCCATTGCAAAGTTTGAAGTTTAAGTCTATTTAGGCACATGTTACTCTCAGTTTAAATAGAAATTTTGAGGCACCAAACTTAGAAAGCAGGGGTCGAATTTTCGTTTTCTCTAGAGCAAGGCAATTGTGGCCTTAATTGGTTTTAATTTGAAATATTAACGTACCACAGTATATTAAACGGCACCAAGGCAAACATATCTATCATAGAAGAGTTAAGGTCATTTACTTTTCAACAAAGCATTATAAGTGGTAAAGGGTATACCAACACCACCTTGAATTGTTGAGAAGCACAGTGAGACTTATCATAGAGGGGCTGTGGCTGTTTAATTCCACAGATATTATTCCATTTTCATGGGCAGCACAGTAAGTAGGAAGGGCAACCATGGCACTTGCGTAGGGGTCGCCGGTAAACTCATGCCCTGCGATCATCAAAACTTTGCATCTTGTTCTTGTTTGCATGAATGCAGCAAAGAAGTACATTGATGCCCAGCTGAATGCGATGGCGGAGGAGGATGGTAAGGAAGAGGAAGCAGGGGGGCTTGTCCGGCAGTTGGCTACGAACAAGGAGCTCACCATTAAACAAGTGTACGCCACCGCTATAGATGTCATGACAGGAGCTGTTGACACGGTAAGATGTAATCAAGGTATTAAACGTTGGCAGCAACAGACAGCTGTAGCAAAACTGAAGTATCCAGTTCATCATAATATTGTAGTAAGGTCAGACTTGTGTTAGCTGAGCACCTCAGTAGAACAAAACCCTGCTTAAATTTTGGTCAGTGTTACAGTGAAACCATCTATAGAATAGTCACCAGTCTGTAAAAGACATAAGTTTCCCTTTAATGATAAACATTGAAAGCACCCCTGTAGTGTGGACACAAGTCTATAACGAACACTTGTGGCTTCTCTGCACAGACGGTTTGGATTGTACATTGTTCATGTTCGCTTTCAGACGACGACCGCATTCCAGTGGTGCCTGTATGAGCTTGCTCGCAATCCAGATGTGCAGGAGAGACTGTACGCAGAGTTGGTCAGGGTTGTCCCAGATGGCAGGCGGGAACAGATCACTCAGAAACACCTTATCGATCTTCACTACCTGAAAGCATGTGTTAAAGAGACCCTCAGGTAGATTTCCTTCACTCCATTAGTTAAGGGGTCATAAGTTATCCGGTTGTACTTCCATGTAGCGCACTTTTGTACTGCAACACTGATATTTTGTTATGTGTTTACATGGTGTTTTCAGTCAATATGTGTCAGTAACCATGTTCTGATGTAAAATAGCGGATGGTGTTTATGTCATGTTTGTTATTGTAAAGTGTTTTTGTAAGTAATTTTTTTCCCCACTTGAGTTCCAGACCCACCATAGATAGTGTTTTGTAATATATGGTTCGTATATATATAGTTGGATTATAGTTAGTGTTAGGGTTCGGTTACGTGTTGGGGTTAGGGTTAGGTATAGTGTGTATTCATTTTACATTGTTGCTTCGAGGAAGTCGAGTGAATGGAGTGCGCTGATTGGCTGTGGTCCGGAACTGAAGTGGGAAATTTTTTTTAGCCGTCCAGAGTTTGTAAGTGTGTTTCATTGTCTGCCGATTGTACGGTGTGTGTATATATACTATATAAATTCATATATATATATATATATACATTTATATATATGCATATATACATATATTACATATTTGTGTAATTATAGATATTGCCCAATTCGTAGGTGACGATATTAATAGCAGTTACTATGTGCAGGTTGTATCAGATAGCTGGAGGATACAGTCGCGTATTGGAACAAGATACCGTGATTAGGGGATACAAGCTCCCTAAAGGGGTGAGAGAATAGTAAAATATGGTCACACTTAGCTAGACATGCCTACCTCTGGTGTTAATCAGCACTCAGCAGCCAATGAAAGCTAGTGTCATGATGTCAAATTAATCACATAGTGTGACACAAATGGTTTTATGAATGCGTAACGATGATACGATATATATTGCATTGTGTATCGAGAAGTTTTTAGTGGTTGAGATGCCTTTGAAATCCGAGGTTACTCCACCTGTGCTGCACTCTCATTTATTCCAATTATTTGTCATGCACGTGCAAAGTAACATATAATTAATAAGATCATTTTTGCATTTGTTTGTTTGTAAAATGCTTATTATTCATGAAATAACTTGCGTAAAAACTGCGTAGTATAAAAATGTGTTTTGCATGCGTATGCACAGACTGTAATAGCGGGAGCAACGCCGAATCTCTGCCGGGATTCAAACTACTTTGAGGATGCGGGGGAATTCAAGCCGGAGCGTTGGCTTCGGGATGCTTCCGGACGGAAGCAGGAGACTCATCCCTTCGCATACCTGCCTTTCGGATTCGGCACGAGGTCGTGCGTCGGTCGCAGGTTCGCGGAACTGGAGATGCATCTTCTCCTGGGGCAGGTGCGTTCGTCTGTCCATCCATCTTAAGAAACGTGAATACAAGCACGCTCAATGAAGCTTCACTACAGGTTAAAGACGTAAAAGTGTAAAAAAAAATTCTCCTTGATAAGTGATGGCCAGTGTAGTGAAGGTATTATGGTTTTCTGGGTGAAATCGTGAATAATGTTTATAACAGATCTTTATCTTTGCAAGTTCATGGGCTTTCTGGCTGTTGGTTGGGGTGGGGTGCTTTTAGCAAGGTTAGACAGCAAGTAACATTAAAATACTTGATGAATAGGCAATAATATGATCTTTTCTTTTCCAACTTTCTTCCTGGAAATGTGTGCAGCTACTGTTCAGTTTTCGACCAGCAGATCTGCTTGTTCTCGAGTAATTGAAAGCCATCTTTTGTGATTTCCTTCTCTGCTTATATGCTACGCATGCCACAACTAATACACCCTTATTCCCTCTTCCTTCTCTGACTGTGCTACTGCGACT